CAATACATGTTCACAAATAATTAATGAGAAAAAATATTTTTCAAAATTCAAGTTTATCTCATGATTATGAAATAAATGTGAAAGCAAAGCCAATCAAAACCGTCAGGACCACTTGTGTTTGATTGTCTTCTTTTGCAATACACTCTGTTTCATCCAAATTTCAACGCATAATTGAAATCACTATCGCGGAGCTACGGAAAATTTTGTGTATTTAGAAGACATTCAAATAGCCGCATGTGAGACCGAGAGACATCTGGATTTATTGGGACTTGAAGGAGCGTGGCGCAATAATAAATTGATTTTTTGCCCGAACTTGTTGACTATTTGGGCTCACGTGGGTGAAGTAAATCATTCTTGTGCATCGAGCATATCTACTCTTACGCAGCGATTCAGAACTGCACGCTGAACCCGGTACGATTTTTTTCAAGAGTGGCACGGCATTCACAAAGGTGGCGTTGAACATGTCTTACCAGTGCCAAACCGTCCCGATTCAAACAGCCTAGCTAACCATGGCAAATAATAGATGGGCTTAACAAAATCCCAGGTTTTCTACAAACGAGACTGGACAAATCTTCACCGCAAAACAGAGTAAGGTCGATTACCATTACAAACCGCGAATTGCCAACTGATGGGAGATGTCGAGCATGTTTTGATCTACTACACCAACTATTTCGTGGCCCCCTCCATACGCTGTTAGAGGATGAGAGGCTAACACGCCGGCAATTAGACTGTCAAAGCTCGACAGCATTGTGTAACCAACAACTAAGCCGTTTACACAAGTAGACCCGGGTTTTACGTAACAGACTTCGGAAGAGGCGTCAAGTCGCCCTCGCTGATCAGCACAGAAGTCAAAGGCGGTCGAACGTAACCAAAAAAGTGCTGGTTAAACATAACGGTGGAGAATGGTAATATCTGACCACATGCGTGAGAATGTTTGCACGCCTGTGTGCCCATTCGTCAACTTCCTTTACCACCATGACATCTGTAGTGAGTGCTTCTCTCTCGAAAAAACTCCTCGGAACAACACATCTCGACGTGCGAGGATAGAGGCCTCTCGAGTCGTCTCGAGTAGAAGATAGCAACACATTTGACACACAGGAATGATCCTACCGCATATTACGTGACGGCAGGAACTATTGGCCACACAGTGCTCTTAGTTGTAAAGCCTTTGCGAGTAGAATGAAAAGTTGCACCAAAATGATGCGGTTTGTTGTGTATGTGTTCACACAAAATGTCATCCTAATCAACATTCTTGTTTTCGCAGCTCACTATATTTCATTGTCCGTTGAAGTAACCATACCCCCGGAGCTAAAAGTCCGGCGGAAGTCTTTCTTAGCATTGCTTGGACAGCGGGGTGCCAATAGGGGATTCAAAAGTTTGTAATTATACTCCGAACGCAATCGCATCTCTCTTTAAGTCCATCAATGAAATACAGGGCTTTCGAAGATTCACTTTCATTGTGTGAATACTGAGCGACTGGTTGCATTACAGGCTGCAGCAATTTATAGATTCAAAGTGTTTGTTTACCTTGAAAAATAGCTCACTTACAACATATCACAAGTAAAACTCGCTGAAACACGCACAACACTTAAAAATGTTCAACAACAATTCGGCAACAACGAAAATATTGCAGTTTCCGAGAAATAAGTGCTACCCACTTCACGTCAATTGGCCTGTGCGCCGAAAAATATCCCTTTCCGCCTAATAAGAAGAGAAGAAGGGGATGCGTGCGTTGCTAGACAGGATGAGTAAACATTGAGCTGGAGGGATACTCGGAGTGACGTCGGCGACTGTTGCACACGGTTTCGAACTTGGCGCAGAATGTCGGGTGAGCTATCGATTAGGAAGATGCCCGCTAAATTCGTGTGCGATGGTGATCACAGCCGACCACACTCAGGGCAATCGAAAATACGTTTTTGCGGCATCAATTTCTTATACATAATCTTGCCACCGACGTTTGCTTTACTTTTGAGACTTTGAGGAGGGTAATGTCATTCCCGTGTCTTATCCAAGCGTCAAACTGCATTGAGGGATATTGAACATGAATCGGAGTGGTTGTCCTCCGCGTCGATGGCATGTTATGGATGGTGACGTCTGTGTCAATTTTGATCAGTAGGGTTGATCACAGCGAAGCCAAACACCGAATGAACTTCTGGAAACTGTATACTGTCTCCGGCATATGGGTGCCGTCCACAAAATCCCGAGGGCGTCAGCGACAACACGTATTAGTACAAGTTTTACCGACAGCACCATAGACGTCTTGTAAAGTCCGTCCTATGAGGATAAACCTCAAAGTTTTTTGCATCGACGCCGATCTTTTCATTCAGTTGCATCAAAGTTTTCATTTAGTGCTCACGAGTGACCCCGAGCTTCTGTTCACGCCCTAGCCCGCTATGGCAGCCCGTTTCGTCAGCTAGACCCGAAGTACTAAATTAATTAGATTTCTGAGGGAATTTCGAGAGTGTTCTAGATCGCTGCTACGGTCACTTTTTGCTCACAGCAATACTCACTTTTGGCTTTTTTTTTATATCGGTTGCACTCGTCCCGTTTCTAATCCTCTGAGGGGTAATCTCCCACTTGACTGACCGCTTAGGTGCTTCGAAACTTTTAGTCTTTTTTCACAAAATTTCCTGCCTTAGCTGCGAAAATTAAACATTATACAAGCACTCGAAACCTCCGTATATTTCGCAATTGCGAACTTGATTCCTACAAACCAATCGTCGGAATGCTGGATTTCCAAGATATCAATCCTAGCTTCATTCGGCTGGTTTACAGCTGGCAAGCTTCGCCCCTCCGTTTGGTTGTCGATATACTCGGGATGGGCTTCAATGAGGGGAATATACAGATCACAGGGATGCGGTTTTAACGCTCGGTGTCATGTGTCGCGTGATGAGAAATGGATTTTATCCAGGCGTTGTCCTATAGTCCAAATACCAGCACCGAGTTCGCGATGGTCTATGAACTCTTCCGGGCTGCGAACCACCGCGATACTACACACCATCCATCCCAAAACGGAGATGAGCTCACCGCCGGTCATCCTGCTAGGAACATCAGGAGTTGCTACCGCAATGTTTTCAAACTATATAACCGATCAGCCATGAGCTTACAAAGATTTTGCTAGCATTTCTGGGTCGCACAAGAAAAGCAGCCGTAATTTCACTACTTCCTTTGAGAACTATGAAAATGTAATACCCAGTGCTAAATACACTGCGTTATCTGCGTTCTCCGCGTTACCTTAAACGCTCATTCAGCTATGGATGATTTTATTCTTAAGTTGACCGAAGCGCCCCGACTATCCATTGACTTGCTCTTCGCAGAAGTAAAAGGCCGTTATTCATGAGAATGATGCCATTGCTCCCAGTTTCCAGTCCTTTGTCGTAGCCAGAAGCCAAAAGTACTTATCTACCTTTAGGTGGAAGGTGCGTTCGCGGCATTTGGTGTGGTTGCACAGAGTTAAATGAACTAGCCGGAAATTTTTTGAAATGACTTTGGGGCGAGCTGATAAACATTGGGGACATTTATAGTGCATTTAGCCGAAGATTGCAAAACATCAGCCCGGCCGTCGGCCTGGGCTTTGCAGCACCTGCGGACCACAACCACGCCTTTTCTTTCCAAAACTCCTCATATCAACATCCAGCACTAGATGGCGCGAACCTTTCCTGTTTAGCCAATTCATCACCCAGAACATCACTCCCGCGGACCGAAATTTCGGGAGATGATCTAGGAATGACTATAGTCAGCACATTTTTGGGGAGACGCCTAGGACAAGAATAAATATTTGAAGAACATACTCTGCCAACCGAGCTCTAAGGTCAAATGTCCTCTTGTGTGATACTTCACACATGACGGTCCCAAAAAGCAAGCGAAATATAGTCCCCTACACACTTCATCCCCACATCGATAAGAAATTTCCGTGGCGACAAAAATAAAAGGCGAAAGAGTCAGTATAAAAGTCAGTATGAAGAATACACCTGACAGTGCATAGTTTTTCTCCCTTCTACCAACGATAGATACTTTTCAGACGCTTCTTTCACTCCTACACTTGGCCCCAAGCTAAACGTCCCGGAAATGGATGGGGCAAGGAGATAAACTCAAGCCTCCTCCTAGCTAACCAAGTCTGCCACATACGATTTCAGCTCAAGTTGATTTAAAATAAGGTAATGCACTGTTGACTAGCTATTTGTAATTTAATTTTCCCTTCATACTTTACAGATAACAATAGTTTTCTTCCGAGTTTTCACTTCTTTTCAGTTCCATAAGCACGTGTCTTGTGAATGGTGCAAAACGGGCTGTTGAAACCGGAACTCGACAGAGCAGGTTTGCTCACTCCAGCTCATATACCCAGTGACTTTCACGATCACCGGCGAGACAGATCAGACGGTTCGGAATCCACGGGAGACTGACCAAAACCAGCGTGGTACCATTTACGTACTCATCCAGAAAAACAACACCCAAAATATGTTAGGGGCTCCCTCGTGGCCGGCCCGTCTTCCCTTTGCGAATAAATAAGTGAAAAGGTAATTCACCTACGGTGGCAGCATCAAGGCTTCCATCCGCGCGACTCCATCCATATGGTGCACTGTAGAAGCTTTCATTTCTTTGAAACCTTCTTCGTTGTAGCTGCTGCACTGAATTATCGCGAGTTCTGTTGGGTGGAATATCCACTGTATTGACTCACATAAACGATAGCCCGTGAATATTTATACTGCTTGACTATTCTTTTTAGTCTCAAGAGCTAAACCACTTAAACATCTACTCGTTTCGGTGATTGTGTGAGGAAAATGGGTTATTTTATGGAGACTCCGTCCTACAAGTGTAGCCGAGCTATGATGAAAGCACAGTGAAAGCCAGATGTAACTGATATGGCTCGCGGCTACTCAAAGAACCAAACACTAACTTGGTTTCATTCAGGGGTTCTTTTGATGGACCGAAACTGAACTTAAAAGTGTTTAAACGTGCTGAATATCCTATGTTTCGCCTTGATCGCTTTTGAATACCAAATGGACTTTCCCGCCGTCCGTTGCGTCTCTGTCGTGGTTCATTGTACCTATCAACCAGAGAACTTAGGTACGCTGAAAACCACATAATTGAAACGAAGTGATTCTTCTTACAATTACCTTTCACTGAGAAACTTCACCCGAGTACTCATCGCACATCCAGGCAGTGTACTTGAGTTTGCTGGTCTTTCAACAAACCACAAAGAAGCGACTTTCTATCGGTTCTTAAGGTTCAGCGCTATCATCACATATTGACGTGGATTACAGCAAGTCCCACTCAAGTCGTCCTTAGAAATTGGAGACCTTGGACATGGCGTTCCGCAATAAACAGTCATCTATGCTACCCAGATTGATTCTGATCTTTGTATGTCTTCTGTTCTGGTGCTCAAAGCTGATATTTCTCCGGTTGAAACACTTTCCGCCAGATACTTCGATCACGGCGCAAGAATTAGAGACATCCCAATCACGGGTTGAAGATGTCGGATGGCAGTCGAGCTTCCATAGACATTTGTTGACCATGAGAGTTCACCGCCCACACCCGGAGTCCAATTGCACCCCACTGGCCATCGATAACTTCCCTAAAGACTTATTCCATCAGCGCGATCGACAGCGAGGTGCCGTTATTCTGCATATTATCGGTGCGACATACATGTTTCTTGCACTCGCTATCTTATGTGACGACTACTTTATTCCTTGTTTGGAGAGAATTTGTGAAGGTACATTGGAAGCATTTACTGAACGTTTTTTTCAGTTTTGAATCTGCAGCCTGATGTTGCCGGAGCAACTTTTATGGCGGCCGGAAGCTCAGCCCCCGAATTGGCCACAACGCTTGTTGGAGTTTTCATCGCGAAGGTTGGTTGGTTTCATATGGTCGGGTTTTTATGAACAGTTAACTATCTATGGATAGGAGGTGTGGTTCATCTCTGGTAAACCATCTGTATTAATACTTTGGGGCCTTACAATGACATTGGTGAGAGAGAGAGAGAGAAAACGCGAAGGTTAAGTGTAAAGGGGCTTGGTGCTAGGTCACCCGGGGTTGATGCACATATAGATATTCACTCAGACAGTCTTAATATAAACTGACTACACAAACGTTATCGAAGTCGGTCAGTAACCATAGTGAGCAACGTCAATCACGTGACCCCAGCTGAACTTCTCTCAGTCTCGTTCATTCCCGTCACACATCTGAGGGAAGGGACTACTGTCACGCTCTCGAAGAAAGCCTTTTTATCACTGTTGCTTGAAACTGAACCATCTGATTATCCTCCGTTGACGCTATTCTGGATTACCTTCCCAGTCGTTTCTGCTCCACCTTCCATGAGCTGAAGATAGTTTAATTATTAAGACGCAGACATGATGACCGGAGGATCCTTGATTCGAACCTACCACCAACAACTCGACTGATCCTGTCTAGGAGTAGACAACCTGGTAGCGCCTTAGCCTCCGTGCTTACTTCATGTAAAATTGCAGCTAAGTACCGAAAAGGAATTACGCATGGGTGATTGTTATATTGTTATTATACCTTACTTTTTGCCTCATTATATTAACATCTCTTATACCTTATTGGCAACTCCATCGTATTTCAACTCCTATGAAGGGGCCGGGCCTTATCGTGGTGCAGCGGATTGTTTATGTCTAAGACCCACTGAGCTGCACGGGGGGTCTCACGTTGGCATCCGCAGAATTGCTTGTACACGTCGGTTAGTAGTTAGAACTCTGAAGAATGCAGCCTCCTAGTCCTCCAGTCTGAAGCTGAACCAGGCGTGGTGACCTGTTACTTATAAAACGTTTTCTGCTGTGGTTGTGAGACGACATCCATCCACTTCCGTGTGGTCGGGCTTTTCAACCCAAGAGCTTCTTTTGAGGACTCTAATCACCCTCTCGTCTAAGTGTGGGCTTCCTGACAATGTAATAGCCCACTTACAAACACGAATGTTGTCAAGAAAAGTGTTATCACTTCACACTCCATCCATTTGGTGGTTACATGGTTAAACTTTCCAAACACCAGCGTAAACGGCGGCAGGACTAGAGCCGATTGTTTGCGTCTTCCTACGAAGTTGAGCTTACAAACTTCCGCTATAACATGTAATATTGCATGGAGTAATATTTGTCCAGTGATAAGTGTATCTGGCATCACATACTCACATCTTGTGGATTGCTTTGATATAGCGTTCACACCAAAGTATTTCGTAAGCTGCTGTTAATACGCTCCGGGAGTGCGTTGCCGCTGTGTTCAGAATCAACAACGCAATCTGTTGATGCATGAGGTGTTCCTATTAAAACTCCTGACTGCAACTGATGAATGTGAAAAAACCAATGCTAACATAGTTAAACAAGATATCCTGCAGCGGCAGTCAATCGAAATGCAAAATTACCAATTTTTTGAGACCGACCATTACCAGAGGTGAGTAGGATCTGTTCAGAATACTTCTGGGAATCAATAAAGACTGAATTCCAACCGTTACTGGGCGTTCGTTGGAGTATGAGTATATAGCACTCATGTTTCCAAATGGGTTTCTCATAACTAGATTTCCGTAATTATCGGTGGTGTGTTGAAAACGAAAGTAGCCATAAAGTACTTTCCGAGGATCAGGGTTTAGGCTTAATCAACTGAAGGTACCCCAGAATTAGCCGTCTGGAGAGTCCTGTAATGTGACAAAATCAGCACCGCATACTTTTGTTGAGGGTTTGGTTTGAAGCTTGCAGCTGGTGCACTAGTATTGTGATGCATTTTGTGGAAAGTAAACCTTCATCAACTTTCAACGCCAGATATGCGATTTTGACTGACTTTTCCCGACACATTAGAACCCGTCTTTTTGTAGAGCTTTGAAGTACAATTTATGGACTCACACTTATATATACTTACATATACATACTTACATGTATGTACTTATATATACTTATATACATATACTTATATATCCCTTACTTACAACAGAACCAAAGGTACTCTTTGTACATGTGAAAACAGCGCTAGCGCGATTCACAACCGCTACTTAGCCATTCATTTTCAAACTAAAAGCTTTGCAAACAATTAGCCTGACAATGGTTTTGTATTTAGGTGTTTAAGTTGAACTACATCTCAGTACTGCAGCAGCTCTCGCCCCTTTGACATCAAAGTAAGGAAGCAAATCAGGTTTTGTCCTAGCAATGAGGGCACTGTTATGTGGAATGTAAGAAAAGTCCTCTGGGTCCTGTTATTTGAAATCCGTTTTCCTTTGCTAGTATTACAAGTAGTGATAGCTGAGAAAAGGTTGGTAATAAGGTCGCTCAAATTTTCATGATTTTTCCAAAGCAAGTTGTTATGCGCCAGGCGTTCTTGGGTGGCTCTTTCCATGTAAAACGCTCGACATTTTTTAAACTAGAAGCTACTTTTAATAGGAAAAGCAAGTTTTCTTTGATGCCCCCGAATTAGAAGTCTTCAACCCCGGAGGTATTGTGTATAAACTAATCATATTGACGCAGAATGGTTGTTTTATTTGTTTGTGCGCCATCTTTAGTGAGAAGCAGAACCAGTTATTAGTCCTAGTTAATATAAATTCTTAAGTTGGTAGAGTTGTGAGTAACGGGGGAGACTTAAGCATACTCGTCGAGTAATTTTTCTCAATTACAGCATTATCTTTGCGCGAACTCGGGAAATCAGAATATTTCTATCTAACCACGTTATTATTGCGCGTTATGCTCCTCTGTTATTGTCAAGTTACTGCCAAACACTGCCATTATATTTCTGATACCTTTTTATGCACTTATCTTTGGTTGTGATTATCGCGTGCTTCCAGTCGTCTACTCTGGCTGACTTAACCAGTTACACCAGCCCTCTAAAGTGATGCCACTTTACGGCTCTACGAGGCCTGCCGTTTATCCTACTAGTTAGGCACATGATTTCAGCAGTCACTTCTGAACTGAGCGAGACGTCAATTCACAGAACGTTCAACGTTCCACCGTTGAACGAGCAATCAAGGAATCAGTATAGCCATCGTCTACTTGACAGTCACCGTTTTAACACGCTGATTTTAGTGAAATGCTTCCAAGCTTTTTGTCGCCTGTTGACGAAGCAGATTGTAGCAAGCTGTAGGGATAAAAATAATACGATATTGGAGTATGATGCGAGAATGTTGCCGCTGCTCCACCGATGGACGCTACATGCGCCTGAATTATCATACCTGAACATGTGAACGCGTTCGTGCTTGAGCGGTGTTGTCGGTTTTTCATGCCTCTGACAACAGCCCAGTAACTGTCCTGATTGTGTCGGTCATTTGCTTCACCTGTCTTAACCTCCTAATCAGGTAGCACCACGGACGCTTGAAACCTGCGGGACAATTATTCCGTTAGTTGCAGGTCGTTGCGAGATATGCGCATCGCCGTCAATTTAACAGTCCTCTTGTCCTGGCCTCATCATTTTGGTAAATTCATACATTCATACATACATAATTGCCTAGTTTGAGGGCGTTGAGAGTACTTCATAGATGTCTCACTCTCGAGGCCGTTACACGGCGAGTACGTATAGGTGCTTTGGATGAGTTTTGGATATTGGCAAGCTATTTGAGCTGTCAGTGTGTCGGTTTTAGGACTGATCTTTTACCACCCATTCTTCATCGAGGAAGGTAGCACTATGCTTCTCCAGGAGGATCCAGGAGTAGTATTTCCACACCCTACCTGCAGACAGCCTCAAAATACGATTATTCATGGGACGGTTGGGTGCTCTTTCCTCTCTGCTCCATCATAAGCTTTAGCTTATGGTTAAACCTAGTCCTAGTCAGCGTAACCCTCGGAATCGTTGCAGCACCCAAGACCTACCACTAGCTTTCGAGCGAGAAAAAGTGTCCTGGTAAGTAGCAATGGAAGAGTTCTAGTTAATGATATATAATTCAGTGTTCTGGAGGGAAATGATCAGGAATAGTTCGTCTAAACATTCGAACACACTTATGCTTCATATATGAGTGGGATGCCGTCACCGTTATAGACCCAGCATCCTTTGCGAACTCCACCCATAAGAACCTTGGAGCACGACGATAGGCAAGCCGTAACTTCCTGAACATTATTGGTTAGCTTTAAAAACTACTCGCGAAAACACTGAAACTTTTTATATGAAATGATTTCGTTACCCAGCACCTTAATTTGTGGAGACAACCATTCTCCGGGGATGTCAGGAAGCCTGTCCCCATCGGAAGATTTTTCCCTCAATGTGACTACAATAACTGGTCCCTTATCTCACTTCGATAGCCATAAAAGCCGTTATGTTTCAAAAATTTTAAGTCTACCATTTCCAACCGATTCACCCGTATTGCTCTACACAACCTTGCGAGCACCTCAATGGTTTTAAACATGGTTGCTTCATTAGGATATGTTTTGTTCTCTGCGTGTAGACAGACTTACTTGAGTTATCCGGTCCATATCTATGAGGCATATAGAGCTCTCTCGGTGGGGCTTCCATTTCTACCCAGCAGTGTAGTTTGTTCAAATATCCGAAAGTTTCCTGAGTGGTTGATCTAGGCAGGTGTGCCATGACGATTTTGTCTTCCGGGCATAAACCAGCACAGATGTTCCTCAAGGCATTATATCGTATCTGGGCCTTTTCTTTAACTAATTCACTTCATGTTATCACTTTTTATCCATTCTACGCTTTTAAGGACCCCCAATGTCCTGGCCATTCAAAGGCTCGTTGCGTTTCTACTTATCATCCTTATTGGCTTCGAATTTGCAGCCTGACTGCCACACGATCTATGTCTAGCCTCTTCAAGTTCATTACAGTTTTTGTCTTCATCGACGGTTCCCCCTACCATCCCTAAATACCCATTCCCTAATTCCCGGATCAACGGTTTAGAATGACCTCCCATGCTTCATGTTTTCTCATCAGTCTTACTGTCTGTAATGGTGACAGTCATGATGATGTCGATGATTCTCTGAGATATTGAAAAATGGCTATAATCGTCGGTCTAGAAATTAAACGTTTCCATCAAATATGAGGTAAACTGTATTCCCTTTCATATGTTTGTTTCGAGTTCAAACTGGAAACCTCATCTCATAACATACTTTGTTTTCATACTTAAATTTTAGCTATGCAAATGAGGCTGTCTTATCATACCGGAAATCTCGTTCTATTTCATCCTATTGTACTCGGATTGCTATTCCGATGTCACACGCAAGAAGAGAAACAATAATATGCACGGACCTCGTCTTTTTTCATCAGAAACGAATACGAGCCACTCTATTGCAAACTTCCGAAGTTAGCAACTTTTTGGCTGTAGCATGCCATTGTTAGTCACAGCACTCAGGGCAAATTATAAGCTGAAGACTCTGAACGTCGGTCACTTCATGTGATCTAACCCCTTTTTTACCTATCACGAGTGACTCAGAGGAAGTCTGTACTGGTTGACCAATCTGACGTTCTGCTTCTATGACCACTTTACGACGACAAATACATGCACGGTTCAGTACAATTGGTGGGATAATAGCATACTAAGACCTCGCAGTCTTTTGCAGAGGATAATATCGCAAAAGCCATTTTTATTGTCTTCCTCCGCAAGACAAATGTGAGAACTCTTATGAATGGCTTCCACGAGGAAGAGGCGCTGCTCTGCTGTGACCAATCAGTGGCCATAAGGGTGTCGTTTTTTCGAAGGATGTGACCAAAGCCGTAGCTGCGGTATAAATAAGGTAGTTGAGGTAGTTTACTGCTGTTCAGCGGCCTATCGGGCATTGAATTCATATAATTTTGTTTCCAGTTATTCTTTGTTTTACTTATTGGGTCATAGTTTGTGAGCCGTTGTTCTTTATCCGTGTACCATGCAACCTAATCTGGTGGGCTACTCATTTTCCAAGGCACATTTGCACGCTTTAATCAAATAAATGGATGTATGAACGATTTTCTTGTGAATCTATCAGAGCCCACAAAAGTTATCCACACTGAAGAGGATGTAAAACTAATTTATCAGCTTTTATTCTCAGTTGCTTACGCAATGCGGTGGGAAATGAAGCGTAGCTTGAAGACTCAGAATTTCCCGTGCAGTGGATGGTACATTCTCTTCCTCAACTTCATTTCCTTCATTAGTTCATCGTAGCCATTTTCCCCATAGATTGGCGCACGCTTATTCTCACACGGCAAATTTTGGTCATATTATGGCAGCACACATCCAGTAGTCATAAACGAGATTTTAGTGAAAATTGTTTATCCGGTTACGTCGTTGTGTACGCGCCTGACTGGACGTGTGTTATGTCCCCCACTCTCTTTTCACTCTCCAACACGGGTTTCTATTGGATATATCGCGATCAAACACCGGTATTCAATTGTCTCAGCATTTCTAGTCGGCTCATTTTAAATGTATGTAAACAGCTGATATGGTACGCAGAACGGTTCTATTATTTACGCTATGAATTGTTTTTAGGAAATTGATAGGGCGAACTGGTTGCATGCAATAGTGAAAGATCCCTGCATCCAGACTGTCTCTGAAAGTAAGAACAGAGGCCCGATAGTAATATTTAAGGGAGTAGGAAAGAAGTGGACCGTGTAGTTTTCATGACTAGCATTTACCTTTTGTTCAGCCTGAACCAATTCATAGTTTTGGCCAGGAGACCTCTGGACACTGAGTGGTAAGCCAAGTATGGAGGACCATGTGATGCGCTGCTGTACAACTCCCTGTGACTCTCTTGGGTCTTCATTTATCTAAGCGCGTCAAATTTAGCTACAGTTTGGCGATGAAGTGCAATTCATGCAGTTTTTCATGTACTGTTCAGTAGCTACTGTTTGCCTGGTGAGTTTAATTAGTGGCGCGCGATCTCGGGCATTATCCCTGATTGGGGTGTAAATTCAGTGTTGTATTCAGAGACATGTATCTTGGTGAGCTTCTATGGAAAATGCGGTCGGCAATCCTTGTAGGATTCAGGAAGCTGTCCCACCACCACCACCACCACCACTACACATACCCAATAGGACCATATTAGGCACCTTAGGCATCGATTTCAAAAGTTTTTTTATTGGAAACGGGCATGCTGAGAAGCGCTCGTGTTTCAAGGAAGGGCGGATGTTTCTTCTGACTCATCTATGTAAAGTAACTTCACTGGGGAACAGGTTCTTATTGTCCCGACGAAATTTTTGCGGGACAAATTCAGTGCAGTCAGGCGGTTTTTAAGCAAAACATCTGTATCTTGTCAGTTCCTCAATAAAGGCAAATAAATACTGATAAATGAACAAGATTTTGATTAGTTTATCGAGCTGTTTTCAGTTTTACAGAATGCACAGCTATCCCAGCTACATGATTCAATTGAGGATTCAGAACGTTACAGGCTGTATCAGCGATACATATAGAAGCAAGAAGAAATCTGGACTGGTCCTAGTTTTAAGTAAACAGTCTTATGAACTTTCAAGTTTTGCTCCTGTCGTTTTTTGTACAATGCGATGAATTCGCCTGTAAGATAACAACCCCAGTCTAATTTAAAATCTGTACCAGGTTGAGATGCTAGATATACCTTTGAGGAAGAAGTTACTTTGTTGCGAGAGGATTGTTCGTCACTCAAGATTAAACCGCCACGAAATCTTGTTGCATTGTGTACCTCCAGAACAGTTCAATAGGTTTTATGTGTATTCCAATAACAACCGTGAAATGCAGGCGAAAGGTTAGAGCAGAGACCATGTGAATTGAATTCGGTCCATATTATCAGCACAAAACCCTTGTTTTACCCAGAGAGATTATATTTTCGTGGTGATTCTTAAAGACGCACTTATGGTGGAGATGATGGATATCCATCATCCGTCGATGAAGTAAGGAATATTCTGTGTAAATATTCTATGTAAATATATTCTATATTTATATATATTCTATGTAAATATTCTATGTAAATTTAACACTAGATATCACACTCTAGGGCAAAACGCACGGGACCAAAAACACTGCATGAGTGTCATAGTTGCGAATTAGTAGGTAGCCTCGTGATTCTCTTCCTTGAAGTCTCTATCGCCCACAGGCTTTCCGTTTCTCTCCCACTTAAATACAAACCATGGTTTCCGCAGTCATGTTCATGCGCCAGCTGGGAACGCTCCTGGGATCTTCCCTGCTTCTGTTTTAAACAGTTTACCAATTAAGTCAGTCTCTTCAGTTTGGCCTGATAGGAATGCATGTTTCCAAGTAATTCCGAAAGTGAAAAAATTACAAAATAACCGTACTTCATGGATCAACCACATTGGCAGTGTATTTAGTTATCATGTCTTTTTTGACAGTCTGAAAATCTCAGCAAGAAGAGATCATAGTGTAAATAGGTTATGTGGTTCGAGTATCTAGTGCGAATATTCGAAACCCGTCGGAATTTGCCAGTCATTGAGAGAGGAACAAGGCGACATTGATCCCCCAATTCGGTGAACTGAAAACAGGAGTAAGACAATCAGCGAATATACACTCATTTGCAAACTAATTTGGTTCTTTCGAGAGACTCACCTGGAACCCAGCTGAATCTCTCGTTTATGATGTTCTCAGGCAACTGAATGTGCTGCACCAGGCCGCCTCATGTTTTAGTCGCTACGATATTTGAAATATCGCGATACATGTAAAGCTTTGTAATGTACTGCTCGTAAGGTTGCTGAAAATCCATCGACAGCCCACGACCGGTTTCACCCTTCTTGGGGCTCACCAGGTAGGCGCGAAGGGCGAAACCGGTCGTGGGCTGTCGATGGATTTTCAGCAACCTTAGGAGTAGTACATTACAAAGATATAGAAGTAAGACGATTGTACGGAGAGTTCGGGCAAAGTCAATAGACGAATGCACTGACGTGGGCCGTCATATCATACTCATCTCATTGTGACTGCGTCCATTTGTAGCTTTTCCTTTTCATAATTGAATCGAATGAAACCATGTCAATTATTTTTTCTGGAATCGAGTTCTGTTCATAGTTTTGGTTCACCGTCCATTGTACGCTGTTCAAACTTTTCCGGAAATGTGCGCATTCATGTCCTATTCACGTCCCACAACCAACGCTAATAATCAGCTGTTAAAGCGAATCAATTTCCCTCATTTTCAGGACGACATCGGGCTTGGCGCGGTCGTGGGTTCCGCAGACTTCAATATCATGCTAGTCGTTAGCGTGACTGCTCTGTTTGCAAAAGAGGTAAGCTGAATTCTGTAGCCATTTGGTGTGTTAATTTTAAGTTTAGGATAGCGTGGTAGTTCAGTTTTTAAATGGGCAAGCCGGCAGAGCCTCAGACCTCATAATTCTTACGGGTGGCAAGAAAATAATGAGTCACAACTAGCTGCGTCGTTTTTATTTGATTTACAACTTCGCGAATTTCGACTGCGACGAGCGTCGCTTTGACCAAAGGCGGTGTGTGACTCGATAAAGCAGTTATTGTGCGACAGACCATAAAGACCTACCAGAGCATTACCGAACTGGAGTTTAGAGGTATTTGCCTCCTTGGAGAAAAGTACTTTTAAATAAAGAGAGAAACAATAAAACACTCCTAAATAGAATATTAGTGATATTGATTGATCTCTTCGATGAGAACGCCAGGAATGTTCGCCAGTCCAAAGAAAGCTAGCATTATCCGTACCTCACACTCACTCACATTTCTAGGCCGAGTGATGTTATTCTTCACTAGGAAGGTGACCGTTTTGAATTAGTGTGATAGTGATGTTTACTACTTACTAGGATTCTCCCGCTTTTCTTTCGTGAAACTACCATGGTGGTTTATAGCGTCAAGGCAATCAAAAGTGTTGTGCTCTTTCTGCTGATAAATGACTATCTCCATGCTTCTGTCCATTGGCGGCGGAGGTTGATTATCAAATAGGGATCAACTCAACCTCCCTTAGTTTGGACTGTTGTGTTGCATCATCCGTTCTTACGGTATCTTATCGTGTCAGCTGGAGCCAAGACCACCACCGTACCTAATCCATCAACGTTATGCGGCACCTCGTGATCGGGAGAGGGAGTATGATCATTCAAGTGGTACCTCGTAGTTACCTATGTGCGCACTTCCTATCTCAGGATGTTGCTTATTGCATCGTGCACTTTATGTTGGGTTTGAGTGCATTCGCGTTCACCTTTCCAAGGAACATCGCTGAGCAAATAGTACACTTAGTTCACACACACACCAGTATTTTTTCTGCACTACAGAATTACCAAGTGAACTGACAGCAGAACTCTTTCACTAGTTAGTGCCTCTGAGTTCTTCGTAAGCTTCGACAGTCTGAAGGTACATATCCACAGAGTGCAAAGGACAACCGGGAGTCGGATATACTCGAGCTTATGTCTTTGGTTCACATTCAGGGTTGCATCGAATAAGTGTGGTTTGTTTGACAGGGCAAGTACACTTCAACTGACTTGTGTGTCCTACTATATTGCCCTCCTTCTATTGTTGCACTGTTGTGTTTCGAATGTTTCTTCACTTCAGATCATTTACTTGAATTGGTGGCCTTTGGTTCGAGACTGCACATTCTATCTGCTCTCCATTATCGTCCTTGCTTTGGTGATCCTCGACGAGTACGTATACTGGTAGGTTATACCAGCTTGTCGTGCACAAACTACACACACACAAAAACTCGCACTGACTGGTAGGTTATACCAGCTTGTCGTGCACAAACTACACACACACAAAAACTACGCACTGACTCAGTGCACAGTCATTTCAAATTTGAAAATCTTTCCCCGTTGGATAATCTTCACTTCTCCTGTAGCTGTCTGTTTCCACTGCCGTTTAAGCCACCCAGCGTGCACAGTTGGTTTACAGCTGGAGCCCGTAATATTGTCAATGATCTAGAGCAAAGACACTTGAATCAAGGTTACTGGTTTTCAGCGCATTCCCCACTATTTCAGTAAACTGAGAAAGTTCGTTGCCCTTCGGACCTCCTCTGGCCCCGAAATCCTGTATTCCCAATACTACGGGGTAATAAATAGGAATACCGGGTTAAAATCAATTCTTTGGATTTTGACGGAAGTGATACAAGAGTGGTAGACTACAATGATATCACACCAGTTTCATTCCTTTTGAAAAGGATTTCATTCAACGGAAGAACTTCTGATAGCTTTTTCTTGGTGAGCTGTAAGCCTGACAGATTGTTTGAAGGAGTACAGCGTTCTTCATTTAGGGCTGTGATTGCCTTGCTTCTTCGGTTGTCACTGGTTCAGCAATTTTACATACGTACATCGACGCATATAGACGAAGGGCATGGATGGTTGACTGCTATTTTCAAGTAAGTAGTGCCGATATTTTGAATTTCATCATTTCGCAACTAGTTGGCACGATGGCGCACAGAGAGCAAATCATGATACGATGAAACTGGAATGGAAGTCAGGACTAAGAGTATGCGGTATCCTGTCGTATACGGATGCTTAACTTCAATATACGCTTGATGGCACACATTACGCTTGCTGCTACTTCTTGCTGTTTCCTAGTGACAAGGGCACCCAGGCATCCGGTTTATCCGTCGCGAACCGCGCTAATTCGTCAGATGATATTTGTCAATGTTTCAGCTTTTGTTTCATTTAATTGCATACATTAACTCTTCGGCGTGTGTTGCGCCCAGCTTTTTACATCACAGGTGAATTCACCACTTAGTTTCCTCACCGACACAATACGGCAGTCAGATTCGTTGTCGGTAGTGTTTCCAATCTCCATCATCACCCGAATATAGACAGTTTTCGGGTGGACGTATCGTAGCAGGTGCTTTTGCTGGTTGAGTACAGCTGAACGACTGTGCGGTCGTGCTACACATACTGAAACCAGTCACTGGCAGTGCTCACGATGTCCGTTGTGCTGAACAGTATTTTTGGCTAGAATTTGTCGGGCTAAAGCACTCAGTGCAATGTATGTATACTGGCCGCCGGCAACTACTGTGGATTTTTCGGCAGGTTACTAGCGTCTGTGGCACTGCCTGACTGCAAAGTCCTGAAAGCTGAGCCAATCGATCGAGACAACGAGGACAGTTACTGGATCGTCGTTCGAGGCGGCAGCCGAATTAACTACATCACTCATGCACGAACACGTTTTCTCTGGTGACCAAGTCCACCGCCGTGGACATGCACTGCTTGTGAGCAAAACTCGATTCCAGTGCTCCCGCCTTTTGGCGTGGACTCACTAGAATGCTTGCACCAGGACAGGAGAACGATATCCAACGAGAGTGGCGTGAGCGTGAAACGACAGTTGTTACAATTACAGCACCATTTAATTAAAGTTGCCATCGCTGAATTAACTAAGTTTGTGGTTAGATGGGGTAGTTTATTATTTAGCTTACAATTCCGGATAGTTGGGTAGACAAAAGTGAAGGCACATTTCGAAATTCGAAAACTGCACTGTTCGTACCAGAAAAACAGGCGCGGAGCATAATTTTACTGGACTGAGTCAGTGTCTAATCCTTGGATTCCGTAAAGCGCTATCCAGTAAAACAAACGCGATAATAGTGCATGTGTATTCAATGTAAAAGTTGATGTTTAGGAATTAATTTTGTCACTATCAGCCTGGTGTCTACATCAGCATGAGACTGATCGTATGGCTTTGTTTTAATAGCTATTGGAATATCATATATTATATTAGTCCCAGATGTATACACCTTGGATGAAAAACTCAGATGGTGGTTTAGCTGGACCTCAAGGCGGGCGACAAATTAAAATGAAACAGGTAATGTATTAGTGAATTACCCTACTGGTCCGATTTTTTATTGGTGCTTGATGAAGTGATAGCTCCTGAACCGGAATTCTTTCGGGGGTCGTGACCCCAGAGTACACAGGTGCAGTCTTCTGTTGGTTCAGGCCGGGGCGGATTATCTCTAAGTGTGAGTTAATCACGCTGGTGATCGGCCGTGATCCACTCCAGGTGCAGTCTTCTGTTGGTTCAGGCCGGGGCGGATTATCTCTAAGTGTGAGTTAATCACACTGGTGATCGGCCGCTGATCCACTCTTTATGTATGGTTCAGACTTGTTTGGAAATGTCATGTCAACCACTGCTGCTCTGCGGTTGGACAATAAAGCGAAATAAATCGATTGAGCATTCTAATATTCCTCTTTGTTGGAATCGACAGTATCCTAGTTGTCAATTAGATGTGAGTTACACCAATAAAAATTATCCCATACCGCATCGACCGTCGGCTGAAATCCATGTTAGCTGTAAATGAAAGAACGAATTCACACAGCTCCGCCATTGCTGAGCATGTTATCATTTCTCATCCTTCTCATCCTTCAATCCCGTTCCGTATGCTAGTTAAACACTGGTAGGTCCAACTTGTACAGTACTCTTCATAATGGGTATATGGATGCTGGTGGTGTACTGAATCACTTTATGTTTTGGCAAGATTAAGAATGTACCAGTGAATTTCCTTCCCGAGAGATTCGGTTCAAATTTTTGGTTCGTCTTTCTTATCAGAAACTGTTTCACACCTGATATAGTTTCAGTTATTAATTGCAGCTTTCACCGTCCCAGTATAGCTGCTCTCTAGCTAGTTACATTGATATCGTTCTACTATCATTCTTTCGTTCCTTGATGAAGACTACCCTCGGTAGTGGAGACATCGGACCATGTCTTTGGATATATCCATAATGTAGTCACCAGTATTTTCACAATGCTTGAACCTCACTTTGATTTGTTTAACTTTTTCTTTTTGCTTCACTCAGGTCACATTTCGCCTGCATCTTATGAGATTGGCTTAACTAAAGGATCAATTTCATCTTTCATACATTAGCTATGCACCGCACTTTGTGATAAAGCTTAACGTCAGTCTATAGCTGGTAGACGCTAGAGCCACGTCATTTCGGTTAGACAACCAGCCCAGTCATGTACGAAGTAGAACTGCGTGATCGACATCCTTATTTATACAGAGTTTATAAACCAAACAAGCAATGGAAAGTTCAGATTTGCTGTACTCCACTATCTTCAGGATAGACCCAACGATGAGTGAGAATATTCTGGCTGGTACGAGATACAGATGGAAACGCAGGGAGCTAGTTGTTTTATTTTCCATCTCAAAGCCCAGTTCAGTCAGTTTCAAGTTTTAACTCTGTACAAATGGGTTTCATATTTTGTTGTTCGTTTTTGTTTAGAAGCAGTTTTAAATAAAAGTCGCAGGCTTCGGGACCCCAGATTGACGTCTCCCAGATTGTAGACCGTCACAACTTTTCAGATAAAATTTGAGAATATGACTTTGAGACAGACTTTCAGGCACTACTTTATCACCCCTTTGTTCAACCCTTCACTCACTACGAAGTCGACGGAGCTGTGCTGCATAAAATAGTGAAGGACAACCAAGAGGAATTTTTACAAATTTTTCAACGTCTCAGACGATGCAGGCACGTATACGTGACTGCGACTGAAAACGTGCCTGTACTTGAAAACCTGTTTGGACCTCAGCGTACAACACTTGTGCGAGTGTGCCGCCACGACCACTATACGAAGCATACCAAGCGCAGTATTTTACAGTTTATCCTGAACAGAATTTCACTGACCAGCTAAAAGAGGGTGAAAATCGTCTTGAACTGCCAACACACTCGTCATGATCATTTAGCCAGCATTAACAACCAACTTTCAGGGGCAGTTAGTGGGTGGGGCTGACAAAAATGAATTAGCCAAAGGCAAGTGTCCAGTGATAAATCTGGTCGACAGGAACGCCCCATATGATGGCGTCTTCCAACATGAGGTCCCTCCCAAGAGTGAATCTACTGATAGAACCGTTGAGTTAGATTGTTTCACATGCCATATGTTTTGGAGAAATGTGTCCATCGACGGTTATTCAATTGTTTGATTTGAATCGTGAAAACATGGGAGGTCATGGCTATAATTTTGGGTAGCCTAATAAATTCATGAAGGTCGGCTCATTCGTGACTCCCTTTCAGCGATCTTGTTGCCCGTATATCACTGTAGACCGTTTCCGTTTGTTGTTATTGGGTGGTCACCAGATTCATTGATAGACTCCACTGGACGCCAAGGATAGTCGCCTCTCTCTAGGTCCGTCTGACTGGTTCGAATTACGACGCAGCATATTCTGACAGAAATCAGGCCAGTAGCGCGAACGATCGGTCCTACGTAGCAACTGCTATATAACACACTAGCAACAACGACCACTCAAGATTTGCAAGCCATTGGGTGGATCCCATATGCCGATCGTCAACTGTCGAGGTATTCTATGACATTGATGCTGAGAACTTAGTGTTCCAAGGACGTTGTCGATCACTGGTCAATGATTTTAATACCAGAGGCTGCAAGTTTACATCAACCCGGTTTTAGAGTTTAACTTTAACCGGACTTAATTGCAACATCCAGGTAGTCTGTTCAGGTTAATTATTACGGATAAAAAGTGATAAATGGTCTATACGAAGTAATGCTGCCGATCGATACGGTTTCAGTGTGCGTTTCATACGTTTCAGCAGTTTGCGATGATAGTACAATTCATTAACGACAAGTCCGAGAAGAAATACCTTTAGCAGTAGATTGATGGGTTAGTTTGACCAACTCTCCACACAGTGGTCTATTTTCCAATGGTTCAGCAGATTCTCACATCATTTTTTTTTACATGATTTAGCATACCAATATCAAAGTCAACATGTAGACGGCTATACTTTTCTCAGAATATGTGGGTGCAAACGAAGAACCTGCAAAAGAATATGGACACTCATTAGACTTCACTAGACATGCGACTTCTTAAGCTTTTCCGGGGCCGTGGGTCTAGACTTATTCAGTGGGTTATGGAGGCAATCGTGCAGCCAAAGGAATTGATTGTTGCAGTACAAGAATTCACCTAAGTGGTCTGTACTACATACTTCGATTGCGGATGTCCCGGATCCTAACCTGTTGTTCATTGCAATCTAGATCTTGCTAATAGGGAGGACTGTGTGAGTTCCCGTCTCTGAGTGTGCGCACACTTCCGAGGTTATACTGATATGGCGGAATGTTGTTCTATATCACGCATGTTATTGATGACCCGATTCATACGCTACTATATATCATTCAGCTGTGCCTATCTTCCGTGTCACCTGAAGGAAAGCACGAGGGCTGGGGTACTTTCAGGTTGCCCAAACCTAGACAGGGACTAAGTCAGTCGAGTGATAACAAGTACAAACCGAATTTGAAAGATTCAGACTGGAGACATCCCAGCCCTACATTCCATGGGTTTCTTAATAGGATTTGGCAACCCATACTGTTCAGTGCTTGGGGTCTTTTATGTACACATCTGGCCTCATCTCAGATAATCAGCTTCCGTGTGCGGGTCTTGCAGTCACGCATTGAAAATAGATGATTGTAACCCGCTACTCTAGGTGAGCTGTTTTAACGCTGCTCTGTTTACCTTGTGCATATCCGTTCTACTATCTACTGACTATCGGAACAATCTGTTAGTAGGACGTCCGGTATGTGTGTGTATGGTTGATGGACGATAGTTCCCAATCGTCCACAGGCGTCCTTTTTGCACATAATACGTTTAAATAGACGATTGTAACCCGCTACTCTAGGTGAGCTGTTTTAACGCTGCTCTGTTTACCTTGTGCATATCCGTTCTACTATCTACTGACTATCGGAACAATCTGTTAGTAGGACGTCCGGTATGTGTGTGTATGGTTGATGGACGATAGTTCCCAATCGTCCACAGGCGTCCTTTTTGTACATAATACGTTTATTCAAACATGGAATTTGCAGGACATCATTCCTTATTTGGTGAGGAAACTATCGAGGAATGTTTTCCGTCATTTCTATGGACTGCTCAGATAAAGTTTGTTTAAAGTCTTTGCAAAGTGGCGAGACTCGAGCTGGACACAGACCCGTGAAATGAAAGTTACACACACTTATGGCAGGAGTAAAACCATAAGATAAAATCAACTCGTGTCAACCAAGTGAACTGATTTCATAAAATTAGGCAGTTGGTACACCTTTTCCTATAGTTCGCTGTCATGATTTGGCTGGCAGTTGTGGTTTGACCACAGCAGTATCAACAAGAGGCCCTTTCGAGTTATCATGATAAATTTGTCAGCCGTCAACCATTTATTCCCATCCTACAACCTGTGATCAATTTCATTCTACATAAATATGGTAATCTTATCATCCACAACACTAATTTCATGGCCAGTAACAGCAGTGCTCAGCACCAGCACCTCATTTCTGCACAACCATCGAAAAGTCATATAAAACCCTCGTGAAATAACCGACAAATAAATACGTTTGTGTGTTCAGTAGTATCCCTGTTGCAAGTTGACCAGTGCAACATTTCTAATGAGGTTACAGCAACCAGATCGCTCCCATTGGTCGGCCAACGTGCACTGTGAACCACTGATCAAATGTAGTATATAAGCATTGTATGGGTAACACTCCTATTATCATGAGGCTCAGATTTTCTAAACTGCCGGTCGTAACATTAATCAAAATACGATTGAACCAATGTTGTAGCTAGGACTACTGTATCACCCTTTTGATGTTTCTGACGATGATGTTGATTTTCAAGTCCTTTTTCGGGCCCGTAAGCTGCTGATGGTTGGCATGACACTTGCCACAACTCACTTCGTTCCAACGGTAATCCAAGCAAACGTGCGCGATTCGTCATATTAACTGTTATCCACTGGCGTCATTTCAACCAATAAATGCACATCTTAAAACAATGAACAGATGAGACAACACCCTAGATCGAACCTTACCAGATTGGCATTTACACCACTCGGGATGCGTTTGTTCTTTGGTATAACCAGTAACAAAATGATGAACAGTAGAATCTTGTCACAGAAAACATTGGTTTAGTGAACACATAGTATGGCACACTGACAAGTTCACCATTCCTGACACATTGAACGGAGCAACTACTATGCATCCTTACCTCAGGCCAGGCATGATTATATCAACTTGTGACCTGGCCCGTCAGGATTTACTGCTCTGCTCCCCTACCGTTCATTTTGGTGTCGGTTTCCTTTTTCTGCAGTGTGTGGTGATCTGTGAACACCGAAAGGTTGTAACTTTCTCAGCGTTTTAGTCGGCGAATGTCCTGTGCCTGTACATGTGTCTGAGCCCGTTTAGAGCTCAAGCGCGTGAACCATAGACACTTGTTACCCGCAGACTAAATACAAACAAATATTTTCACAGCGTTTTGCCGTCTTCAGTGTGTCGAATTTCACTGGTATTGCACGATTCGATACTTGTCATACAGCAAACACGAATGTCCTGTCTAAACATTTGCCATAAGAAAGATAAAAATATCGAAATTAGTGAGAATGTGTGTATAGATTGTCACCAGAGAATCAGAAGAATCAGCCAACGAGTCACGAGTAATCAGCACACTAGTATTTTTACTCTCAAACCCGATTCCCCAATCTCTCAGAACCTTGGGAATTGCCTCTTCCAGAGCCGGAGTCCCCTGACCGAGAACAATTGCACCGTAGCATACCTAGTCTGGAATTTTGCTTGGTATTTGAAGCACTTGGCATGGCTCAAAGCACTCAATGTGCGACTGTTTCTTAGCAGATCTTGCTTGTCAAAAGTAAACTTCCACCAACGGGTCTATCTCTTGAAGTGACAATTCATAATTTACTTGGCGAATTTCGATTCTTACGACATGTTAGTCTCTACAGGATTGTTTTCATAAGTTTCAGCGGTGTGTTGGAGAACAAGCAGCATCGCGAATTGGTAGATAGGTACGTCACTTGCTAACGGGCTCACTAAAAAAATCCCAGATCTACTGTAGCTAACGTATTAGACTGCTTCCATTTTGTTAAGAGTGTATTCAATGTCTCATATGTCGTTCGATGCCATTTGAAGAGGAGCGTAATCTAATAATAATAATGATAACAATAATGATAATGAAAAAAATTAATAATGATAAGTCAAAACGTTCAAGTCTCAGCGGCCCCAACGTGATACGGACACCCGTCTTTGGAAAGTTATTAACTGTATCTGTTAATTTTGGCTTCGTTGGAGTAATTTAGGGCCCGATCATTACAACTACACTTCGAGTTAAGTGAAATTCGGTTTCCGGTCAGTCAGCTAATCAAGCAGAGTTCACTTATGCTACTTCTAATTGATCTGTCCTACTGGGGTTTAAAAGAGTACCCAAGTACAATGCGTTTAGTGATTCCTTTACGTAACTGCGAAGTACATTCCTCCGAAACTCCGTTTTCAATATAACTTTCTACATGTACCACGTGTTATTGTGAAAATACATCGTGAGAGGCAACTAGCTCACAAAGGTTGAACTAGTCACACTTTCTAGGCCGCACGGGTTGAACATTTGCTACGTTCGTTGGTAGGCTGCCTAATTCACAGAGTATTCACCCGTGAACCATGTGTTGCATCCTATTCAGTCTGTCGTTCTTTGATCAGCACTGAACCGATATAAGAACCTGTGATACTGAGAATAACGTAAAATCGTACCAAGTTAGACATTACTTTAACATCTCTTGACCGTACTGTCGAACGTACCATTCTTATTCCTTGCAAACAAGGAGCACTCTAGTGTTATGTTTTATCAACAAATGTATACTGATCATTGGGTAGTCACGGAAAGACATGGCAAGACTGCCATCTTCAACAGGATGCTTATTTCTGTACAGTTTGATGGTGTTCACAAGTGAAGACATCATCCTCCTGAGCTATTTCTTGGGCCGTTCATCTTTTTTTCTTTTGCTCAGCAAAGATTGCTCCTAAATTTTGTGCACATAATAAGTTTTCTGCATTCTCAGACTTGCGGGCGTGTGATACGGTGAGCTCT